TTTCCTTCCCAGTGTTCGGAATGGTGCCCTTCCTCAACTCCATCCTGGGCACGATGCTGCCCATGCTGGGGATGGCCAAGCAGGACCACATGAAATCCGTCTTCTGCTACGGTACCTTCCGGGGGGGCTGTGGGAAAGGGGCTCCTTTCCCTGGAAAAAGGGGGGATGGGGATGGGGGGGTGGGTGTGGCTTTGCCCGTTGGCACTGGGTGGGCTTGGAGGTCCCTTCCCACCCGGAGCATCCCAGGATTCTCTGATCCAGGGGAAGCTCTGCCTGATCCCGCTTTGTGCCCGGCCTGTCCTGGCTCCCTCGGCTTCCTCCTCTGGAAAAAGAGGCTGTGGATGCTCCTGAGGGGGCCATCCTGGTGGGATTGGGAAGGAAAGAGGGATCATGGCAGGGCTGGAGCGTGTCCAGGGATGGGAAGGGTCTGGAGAGCTCCTGAGGGAGCTGGGAGGGTTCAGCCTTCAGAGGGAATCCAGGGGGACAGGAGCCAGGTGGGATGGGGCTCTGCTCCCAGGGAACAGGGACAGGACGAGGGGAACAGCCCCAAACTGTGCCAGGGGAGCTTTATTTGGGATATTTGGGATATAAATCCCTGCTGGGAAGGGGCTGCCCGGCCCTGGATCCCCATCCCTGGGGGATTATTGACCATCCCTGGGGAGGTGGCACTTGGGGACACGGGCAGGGCTGGGGGATGGTTGGACTCGGTGGGCTCTGATGGATTTTCCAGCCTCAGCAATTCCATGAGCTCCTGGAGACCCTCCTGCCAACCCCCCTTCCCCCCTCGAGCCACTTCTGCAATCGTCCCCCGTGCCAGGATGTGGCACTGGTGGGCACAGGATGTCATGGGATCCCCCCTCGTGACTCCCAGGGGGATGGGGTGACTCCCACAGCTTCCCCTCAGCCCCCACCCCCAGCTGACCCCCCTTCCCCTGGACATCATCCCACTTGTTCCCTCACAATCCCTTCCCAATCTCCCCCCTAACCCTGGGCAGCCATTCCCTGGGTGCTGTCCCTCCAGCCCTCATCCCAAATCCCTCTCCAGCTCTCCTGGAGCCCCTTCAGGCCCTGGGAATTCCTGGAATCCCTCTCTGAGTGCAGGGCAGTGCCATCTGCTCTGGAATCCCTGGAGGAGCAGGAACTCCCCCC